TCAGTAGAGATAGGGGATGGAGATCATGCAGCAGCAAGGACTCGAGGGTTAATGATGCATTAGAAGCCACAAAAGTGCCTGAAAACGGTCACGTAGGAATTGGGGCTTCTTCCCCCAAACCGACTGAAAGGCATCTACAGCGCACACAGCTCGGGCAACAGACAGGAAGAGCTGGAAGCCATTGTGCAGCAGGAAAACTAACTGGTTGCCATCATGGAAACATGGTGGGATGGCACACAAGTGGAGTGCTGCAGTGAATGGCTGTAAACTCTTCAGAAGGGATGGGCAGGAAGGAGAGGTGATGGGTTAGTCCTGTTTTGATTGTCTGGAGCTTAATGATGGTGATGATAATCCCTCTCTACAACTACCTGAAAAGAGGCTGTAGTGAAGCATCAGTTTCTTCTCCCAAGTAAGAAGTGATAGGACAAGAGGAAATGGCCTCAAATTGTGCTGGGGGGGGGGGGTTAGATTGGATGTTAGGAAGAATTTATTCACTGAAAGGGCTGTAAGGCATTGGAACAGGCTGCTCAGGAAGTCACCTTCCCTGGAGGAGTTTAAAAGATGCTTAGGGACATGGTGGTGGTCTTGGCAGTGCTGGGTTAACAGTTGGAATCAATGATCTTAAAGATCTTTTCCAACCTAAACAATTCTGTGATTTACTTCTAGCAGTCAGTCTAGGGGGAAAGGATCACTGCTACATTTGGAAGCTGACTGACCCTTTTTCTGCTTTACTGTGGCTATTGATCCAATTCCTGAGGTCAGCCAAGGACTGCATTATCTGGCCTCTAGTATCTACATCTGTGTCTGTATACCTGGAGAGAGAGACATTGATTGGTGACAGACCACCCTGACTGACATGTATCTGAGAGCAGCTGAGAAGGAGATGCAGCCTCTGGAAGAAATGACTGATCAAGAGATGGTGCAGACATCCAGGTTAAGCCCTTCATGTGACCCTGAGCAAATTATCCAACTCCCGTCTGTAAAAGAGAGCCGATGGCATTCTTCTGCTCTGTCATGCACTTAAACTGATGCCTAAGTAAGTGCTTGGAAAGCCTCAGTGGAAGCACAGCAGAGTCATTTCGACATGCTCCATAGCTGTGCAAGGGAAAAGAGCTTGCCTTCAGGCACAGCAGTGCAAGAACCAGCAGTGCAGGTTCACTGCCCATCAACTCCCAGAGCTTCCAACAAGATTTTTAGCCTGGAGGAGTCCAAGGTGGGAGCACAAAGATGCCCTTTTCCTTCAGCAGTCCCACTAGGAACAGCGCCTAACAATGACGCCTGGACAGTGAGTGCACCCTGTGCCATCCACTCATGGGCTTCAACAACTGTCACTTCAGCAGCCTGCTTTCAAAGCAGAGCGCTCGCTGTTCTCTGCAGCAGTACTCTTGTTTCACGACAGCACTAAGTGTGTACACACACTGGTACCAAAGCTGACCTAATTCTTTACATGCTAAGTGCCTTTGGTATTGCTTTGTCCCCCATTTGCCCTCATTTTCCCATCCTGTTTCAGTCTTTAAAGCTGCACTGCCACAAGAAGCCTGGTCAGGGAAGCCAGCACCCCACTCTTTCTGTAAGCCTACCCACGTCGTGAGGGGTGTTTTGGTTTTCCTAGCCTTGTGCCCTTCCCTAGGCTGGAGAGCCACAGCTCAGAGCCTCTATATCCATACACATCTGCTAGATTTCTATTCCCTGTTAGCTCTGCACAATCTGGAGTTTGAATAGGCAGCAGGAGTTGTCTGGGATCATTCCATGTATTTGCCATTTCAGCTCTTAGCTTCCCCACCCAAATCACACAGGGACAGCAATCAGATTGTTTCTTTTTCCTTATTAAAGAAGAAAGACAAACAGTTTTCATGCCTATTGCATACAGCACTCAGGAAGAGACTATTAGCACAATATTTGGGTAACAAAAATAACTCAAATTTGATCTTCCTGGAATATCACAAAAAGGCCGTATTTGGTAGGGGCTTACAGACAGGGCATGTCTGTTTTGGCAAGATGAAGGGGTAAAACATTGCTGTTGGAATAATTCTGTTCATGCTGCTGGCATTTTATTGCTACTAACTCTCCGTTGGTACATCAAAGCTGTGAATAGGTGGCTTTATAAATCATCCTGAATACCTACCTTGGACTCCAAGGATCTTGCTTGCCTTATGCCAGGTCTGAAGGCAGGCTTGGGTTCTTTATAGATAGATGCAGCTTTACCAATAGATGCAGCTCAGTTCAGGGAGAACTGTAATTGCTTCAGTTTAACTTTGCAAAGATTGAAGGTGGCATGGCGTAAGTTAAAAGGTTGGATCAGTTTTCCACACTTGCTTTCACACTTTTTACATTGCTCCTAGTCTGCTTAAATCCAAGTTAGCTGTGGAGTTACTCGCATTTTATACCAGGGTGAGCAAGGTCTCCCTGAAATCACAGATACAATTATATAGGGGAAAATGGGCCTACCTGATGCTTTTCCTACTCTATTCCCTTCTCATTCTTCAGGCCTTGCAAGGCAGTTTGGGAGTGCCAGGCCTCACACCATTTATTCCTGCACAGACCTAATCCTGAGTTGCCCTTGGGAGCTGTCACTTAGTTCAGGCTGCATTTGATAGGACTCCAACAGTTCCCAGTTTTGGAAAACTTCCATTCCAACTGCTTGGCCCTGTACCTGTCTCAGGTTTCTATATTAAGGAGTTTAGCTAGTTCCACTTCAGATTTTCTATTTATTTATATCTTTGTAACACTGAGCCATAAATAGTGCTGAGCACTGACACCTCCCAAATTGTGGGCACCCATCACACAGATGTATTGCACAAAGTTAACAGTTCATATTCACTTAACTCCTCCAGTGCTCAGGGCCAACATCTTCATTTTAGAGTGGGAAAAGATGGGTGATAGCAAACCTGAAGCAAAGGGAAGAGTAAAAGAAGTTATAGTGTCTTGTGTGATTGTTTTTGGTGCCCTGATCTGATGTGGGCAGATCTTTCTTTAGTCAAGCTTAAAACCAGCATTTAATCTCACTTTCCCTGCTTCCCATTTGTAGAATGGTAATAGCTCACATCACTTTACAATACTGGGGGGAGCAGAAGCAAGGATAAATTCAATGAGGGATGCAATAGTGTGTTAGGCAGTGTACGGATAGTGCGGTAGGAGAAGCTCTGGCAAAGATACAGCGTTTATCCAGGCTGCTTTCCTGTAAAACGAATGAGTTCAAGAAAAGTAGATGGCACCTGGCTCTCCTGAGGGCACAGACAACAGGATGCAGCCTGACCCTAGATGCCCCTGTGCCAAGAGCTGGAAGGACAGCAGCATGCTCTTTCCACCCCCAGGATTAGCAAGACCTGCTGGGACAGAACAGGAGACTCCAAGTGAGAGGAGGAATGCCAGTGCAGTAGGTATAACCATTCCTTCTTGAAGATGCTCAGGAGAAACTCTCATTTAGCAATGTCTGGAAGAGCCCCTGACTTATGCCTGGGGGTTTGAGGCCTGAAACTAAGGCTTAATGCTTCTAAAAATGGGGGGGGTGGAACACGACCCAAACAAAATAGTGTGTCTAATGCAACAGCAGGACCTCACCCACAGGTGCAGCCCTGATCATAGCATCACATTTGAAATCTTTATATAGATTCTGGCACAATGTGAGCTCACTCTCACTCAAAGCCTGGCCTGTGCTGTGCCAAAACTGCAGCTGTGCTGGGGTGTGAGGTGCCTGCTTTCTCCCTGCCATGAAGAAGAACACAGGGCCTTCAGCCTCACTTAAAAGTAAGGGGCACACAGCAGAGTACTTGAAAATGGCTGGTACTTCTTCATATAGACGTACTGCCCTCCTGTGGCTGCCAAGGAGCATCTCTAATGCAGGAACAGGGAGACCAGGGACTGAGGGGAACGATACAAAAATGTAACTATATATTCAATTTAAACCAAAACACGATAACAAGGAAAGAAAAGGAAAACACCCTGTGTGATTAACTGGGAGTACATAAAAAGGCAAGAACAAAGCAGAGAAATTTACTGAGAGACCTAATTGTTTTGTAAAGATAGTCTCGAGCTATTCTTCACCAGTCTTGTCAGTGAGTGCCATTTACTCACAGCGATGGTTCATCTAACTTCATCTGGGTGAATGGGGGAGACAGATGAAGTTCATCTGACTTCATATGGATACCCCATGGGGGAGACTTCACTAGCAACTGGTGCAAAGAAGGTGTGGGAGAGGAGAGCACTGCTGCATTTCCCTGACTGTGACAGACATGTGCTATGACCTTCCTGTATCTACTAACAGAAGCTGGCACAACTTCTGCAGTGTTCATAAGGCTCTTGCTGAGACACCTCATGTTGCAAATGTGTCCCTTCCTCTCTGTGAGCCAGGATGAGATGACGTTTCTAGCACAGCCTGACTTCTCTCTGAGGGACTTGCCTTAAAAGCCTGAAGTTAGGTTCTATGAATAAGACCTTGACTATCTGCCAGGAAGCCTGTTTCTTGTACTTTATGACTGTGCTGCTTCTTGTGCACCCTCTGCGGGCAGAACGCATCTCCAGTCTCTCATACTGGAGTGGGTGTGACAGGGATCATGTAGGAAAGTGCCAACATGTGGCATCTCCTTCAGGACTTGAGGCTGTGAAGTCACACCCACATCAAGAAGGGTGTCACCCCAGTCTACTTGACAGCAGTGCTTTTAGGGGGATGTACATCAGTGGGAATGCTGGGATCTCTTCAGGTGACAGAGACTGCAGTTGAGCAGAGCATGTGCCAAGCTGAAGTCAGTGAATGAGCACAGGAGACAGACAAATGCTTTGTTCATTCAAGTTGCCAGATCCCTGACTCAGCATCTCATGTAGTAGCCAGCTAGGGAATAAGGTAAATCCTGCCTTCTCCAGTTCCACAGCTTAGGCCATACGGTATTAACATCACGAATAAAACTTTGCTTTACGCACAGGTGAAAATGGCCAATGAGATGAGAAATCAGTCAATATCATTTTAAAACTTGTGTGTTTGTGTGTATATGCACACATAAACACACAGAGAGAATATGTATGTATTTATAATAAGCACATACGAAGTTTTACACAATTAAAACTACTCCAGTATGTACATGATATATTCCTGTCACTCACCAGGACAATACATTTTGTTGCACTGACAGAATCTGTTGCTCAGTTTCCTTTTACATTACAGTAACAAAACTATGCAGAACTGCTCAGTGGAAGGCCAATCTTTGACAAGCACAGATCTGCAGCAACCCACCAGCTCCAGCAGTGATCCTGCAAGATTTGAAGGTATTCCTCCAGCTTCCTTCAAATATCAACTCTGCTTTCACAGAAACCAGTTGTTTCTAACAATATGCTACAACCCCGTTAAGCCAAGCAGGATTTTTCCTCCAGTGCTTATAAATAATTCACACCCTCTCTACACCATGCAATGCAAAAAGTAGTATCATCTTTGCAGTATTCTCATTTGGCCCCATAACTGCTTTAAAAAATACCCCCAAAAGAAAAGGAAGAAAACCCAACGCTCACATAAACCTTAAAAATCAGCAGACAGAGCTCTACTGATTTATGTTTCCAAAGGAAATACCTTTCAGTAATAATTAACTCTGCAGATGTTAAGTCCAAACATTGCTAATGTGAGAAATGAGGACAGAAAACTAAACAAAGAGCAAACTGAGAGACACACAGCTTGTGAAAACCCTTTCATGTGTTTGCATCACCCGCATGATGTCCTTCGTAAATACCAAAATAGATGAGCTTGAACAAGTCTACTGGAAAAAACACTACCTTAAAAATGTGTAGTTCAAAGCCTTATCTAAAAAGCATTATGAGAGATGAAACTGCATCTCTCTGTCACTGCATTAGTCACAAAACCTTGCATCATGTTGCATTCTGAAACACTGACACTGATGAGCTGTCAAAGAAAACAGCACTTCTTTTGCATCATCGACACTAGACTAAAAAGAAAAGACTAAAACCCACAGAACTTGGCTGTTTTAAAAAGCTGACTCTCTGAATAGAAACCAGATGATTTTAAAAGGTGGAGAAAACCACCAGGTTTGGTCAGACCTGTATTTTATACTGGCAGCAAGCACTGTGATTCTTGTACTGATTTCTTTTACAGGAACTCAAGGGTGTGTAAATATTCCTAGCATTAATGATGCCTTATGTAAGAAGCAGATTGCAGTTTGCACCTCTGTCTTTTGATACAAGTTATGACAGGGTAAATAACTGGTTTAAAATTTGTAATACATAAAATAATCTTTAAACAGTACCAAAAACTAGGTAAGCCCAAGTGTCAACCCCTGTAAGAGGACCTCTTCATAAAGGGAAGGTAAAGCCTCCTTTGGAGTAGTTACAGCCACACACAGAAATGAAACTAGAAATACACACAAGAAGTTACAGATCTGATTTACTGGAGTTTTGTAGTAATTTCCACCTGATGGTAATCTGAGGATTGTAGTATGGAGCCAGAAAAAGACTTCCAAAAAGGTAAAATGCTGGGAGAAGACAGGAAGAAAGTATCTGAATTCCCACACTGAGGATCTGATGTGCTGGAACAGGCAGCCCTGCCTCCATCAGCCATTAGGTGCGGTGGTGGATGCGCTCAGAACATCAGAAGCCTTACGTTTAAACATCCCAATCACCAACATTCCTGCCTCAATCCATCATGGCTCACTATATCTAAGGTCAGAATAAATAGGCATTTGGGACAATTGCAGAAGTTGTGTGCACAGAAGACAGGTTATGCAGCTCAGCCTCACTTCCCTACTGCAGGTGTAACACACTGCTCTGTTCTGTGCATGTTGGCTGCTATGTTTCTCTGATTACAATTCACTTGCACAGCGTGTTTGCACAACACTTCAGAAGTGTTAAAAACCCTAGAATACAGTTAAGCTTGATTGAAATTCCAGGGATAAAACACTTCAGCTTCTGGAAGCACAAATCAGACCCTTCTTCAAGCGTCCCATGCTACATACAGGTTTCTGTGCTCACAACAGCCAGTGTACACATCAAATCACATAAAAGTAACACTCTGACATCAGCAATGAGCCAGGATTTTCCCTGGAGTCCCAGAGTCCTGTATATATTACATTTTTAGTACACATCATGTCACAGAGTTAGTGTTTTCCTTACAAATATATGGCACTAAGTGTAAAACTTCAGCACTTACTCCAGTGTAACCATACTTCACAGTAAAGCTTTCAAAAGAATCCTCTAACTCCCACCTCTTCTAAATATACAGCTGGTGGGAGGCCAGGGTGTCCATGAATGGTCGCACAAGGTTGTCTGTCGAGAAGTAGAAGACCAAGCCAAAGGTGATGGAGATGGGAAGAGCAGGCAGTGCTTTCTTAAAAACAGCCAGCAGTAAGAGAGTTAAGCATAAACCCTGCAAGAGAGAAGAGAACAAAAAACACAGACATACAGTAAGAAGCCCGGAAATGTATGTCATCAACAACCTAATATACAAATAACAAGCCACACTGTACAGCATCTGACTCCTGCCTGAGCTAGCAGAGGCCCCCAGCTTCACCTTTCAAGTTGCCCAGGCATTTTCTTCTGTAATCTTGCTCACAGCTTTCTGCTGAGAAGATGCTATAAGCAGCTCACGCTGACATACAGCTGACCCTGAGAGCCTCATTTACTTACAGATTACATTTTCTTCCGTGCCGTTACGCATGAAGTACTGTTCCAGCACATAAGAGCACTTAAATCCTGGTCAGCTACAGAGATAAGAACCTCCACTGCAGGACTGTGAATATACAGCAGCATGTACTGCTAACGCCTTCCCAGTTTGCAAGGTGTCTTGGGGTAAAACAAATAAATAAATAGATCAACAGCAGATAGAAAAATACCCACTGCTGTTCTTTTGACTGCACTGCATTCTATGACAGGTTGATTCTGGTTTTATCTGGATAGCTGGCCAAGGTTTGGGTTTTGGAGCATGTGTGAAAGCTTTGGTATACTTTGGGAGGACGGTATGGCTAAAAGCATTTAGGTATGGATTCCTTCTCTCATCTGAGCCCTTTCTAATTCCTCCATGATGACGAATGAAGGACACAATAATTCATTTTCTTTTACCTTTTAAAAATCCTGCTGGTTAATTTCCATTAGGATGCTGATGTAAACAGCAAATTCCTAGTAATTATTTTCTACCTAGGTGAAAGCTCAGTAGTGTGTGTTCATTAGACCTGGCAGGACCGAGTGCTTTAGCAGTTACAGTATGATCCTCATCTGCTTTTACTAATAATTTCCATGGATTTTTAAGTCTCCTTCCTTCCAAGCTCAAACACCAGAACAAGACAGTTCTTCATCCTCTTATGTAGCAGCTCTCCTTAGCATAAGGGAATTAACCTTTTCAACTTTACTTGCTGATAAACATGCACTTTATGATACTGACTCTTCTGGCTGACAGAAGTTCCCAGTCTTTTAGCACTGAAGCAAGCACACTGACAGTTCTGCTGTAACTAATAAGCTGGTAACTGGCTGTTTTACCATCTCCACACTTTGCTCTGTTCTGACAAGTTGATACCATTCAGCTTCAGTGGCTGCTTAAAGCCTGACTCTGTAGATTAGGTGGTTTCTCCTAGATACCCATCACATTACCTGCAGTGATTAAGCAGTACTCAGCTGCTGGTACTTCTGGCAACACTGCTCTACTAAATAGGGTGTAAGAGAGTTACTAAAAGCTTGCTCACTTACTATGAGAATGGCTACAAAGCAGGCCAGCGTGGTATTCCAGTCTCCACTCGCTGTGGCCGCTGCTTTCCCAACAAGCACACTATAAAATATGAAGTCTCCAAGGCCCAGCTTCACACCCCCTGACAGAAGTGGGGAAAGAAAACAAGGGTTAATTCTGTTCCTCCTGCTCTGCTTCCTCCTGAACAAATTCTTGCCCCTGGGGAGCAGGTGAGGGTTCCTCATCCTGGCTCCAACCTGGACCCTTAGCACCCCACACACTACTGAGGAGGCCGAGTCTTCCAGCCTCCTCTCCCACAGCTGTTTTTGCTCAGCCTCATTCTCTGAGGTGCTGCCCTGGGCTGCTTTACAGATGTACCCGCTAAGGAAGCATGAGAATGGAAAGGGATGGGAGGCAAGGAAAAGGAGGAACTGTTTCAATTGTGTAGCCAAGAGATGTCACTGGAACTACAATCCCAGATCAGATTCTGCAGCAGCAAGTAATATGCAGTGAGACTCAAGATCTCTGTTGCTCAGCAAGACACAACTCTTCAATTTCAATTAGACCAAAGTGGGTAACAGTGTTAACCACAATAAGAAAAAAGTCAGGTTCTGACTGAAGTCAAGGTACAAAGCTTCTCTTACTTTCCTCCTCCTCCAGCTCCTCTAGAGAAGTGATGGGGCGGTTTGGAACAGGACTCCTTGTCTCCGACATCTGAGAGTCTGCATGTGAAGAGCTCCCATGGTTGCCTCTCCCATCCTCAGCTTGGTTCCATAAAAACAGGCCAAGACAAGCAAAGAAAAGAAAAGGTAGCTACATTTATAACTTAACACGTGAAATCCACACTGCTGTGAAACTTCCCTGGGATGGGTAAGCTCTTTGCTTCTTGGAGGTGTGATCATCAGGACCAGTTCAAGCAGAGACACTTAGTGGCCTTGAGGAAAACACGTGTTATTATTCGAACCAGTAGGAAGAGTATGTGTTCACAGCTTCTTTGGCAGCTACCCAGCAGCTCAATGGCTTTAACAGGCAAGTACATATGCAGAACTAAGCTCTGCACAGGCTAGAATGACAAGTAAAGCCCAGTAAAGTCAATATGCATTCCCACATCTTTGTGTCTTTGGGGTGGAGATGCTCAGGTGTTCCCTAACTGATCATATGACAAAAATGGATGACTAAGAGGACTGCCATTTATGAGAAGTCACACTGACACTGAAGCTGGGATGTTCACATGTAGAAAGTGGACACATTTCATTGTTCAGTGATTTAATTTTTATTTTCCCCTATTAAACACATCTAACAGAGCCCTTGGTAGTGCTTTTGGAAGCAGCCTGTCTGAGATATATTCCTCAGTTCCCATTTTCCAGAAGCACTCATACAAACTTTCCAGACCATGTCAGTCTGACAGGATGCTGCTGCTGCAGATGCAAGCAGACTGCGATCTGGGACACAGAGCGCTTCCACAGAGGCATTCTGTAGGCTCAGCATGCTCTTTCAAAGCAGGATTGTGTCCCTGCTGTTTGTTAGTGTGTCAGCTGCTTTACCCCGAGATAAGCAGCATGTTCAGTTACCAAACCTTAGCATACATTTACTGCTTTAACATAAAAAGGTACTGTCTTTTCTAAAGTTCAGCAAGGCCAGATGGGGGAGATCCTCCCAACATCATAAATGACATTTTATAAAATCACATTAAAACTGTGTTTAATTTGCATGTCAAGAAGATAAAAGCAAAGGCACATAAATTGCCACAGGTGCAGCTAGCATGTAAACTTGGTACACCTCAGCTACTGTTGGGTAACTGCGCAAACATAAGCTTTTACCCAGTGGTAAATGTAAGGATGTTCATTTTCTTTGGCAGGGTAAGCCATGCTGCACTTACCGCTGGGTAAGAGCATGTCTGCTCCATGCCAGTGGCCTGAACACAACACACTGCAATGCACTTAAGTTCAGCAGCTCACTGGCATTGTATTTATGAGCCTATGTTGTAATGTACTATCCCCAGCTAGTAAAAATATGAACCCCCTCTAGTCCACTTTCAGCTCTGCCTTCAGTACGTCTGAAGATGTGTTAACAGTATTTGTTTGGTTTCCTGTTTGTGTTTGGTTTAAATAAAAGCAGCTTGAATACTGGAACTTTCTACATCATCTGGTCATCTTTCCTGCCAGCCCTAACGGCAGGTTTCAGAACATCAAGTTCTGCAGCCACCGAGAAAATGCATCCATCAGGATTTAGGGGCTTACATGTACTTGCAGTGTAAAACATACACATTATTTCCATGGAACAGTGCTCTGTATAGAAGAGTAACACGCAAGCAAACCTGCATCCCACGTCTGCTGACTTGGTCCTCTTGCTGCTGTGTCTGGCTTTGCCATTCCAACTGTCCACATCATAGCAGCTAGAAGCAAGAGAGAAAGTAAACAGCTGCATAAAACATCAATCACTACAGCTCAGAGGAAATAGGTATTTAGCTGTCCCTAAAAATACAAACTTTTGCTTCTGTAAATACTTTTAAACCTCTCATTTTTAGGTGGTTCCCCTCACACTTTGAAGGTAAGAGAAAATTAAGGCAGTGCATTCAGTCTTTAAGAAAGTCCCAGAGTACAGATAGGTAAGAGTCAGTACAGGCCTCTCTGGAGGCTAAAGAACACAAAAATCCAGAACTAGCATCCTCATCTCTTTTGTTTTCTTCAAAAACCAAATGCCCAGGAAACAATGGTAGTACAAAAGGTAACCAGAGGTTAACTTACACAGCCTGCTCCTCATGTTCTACTAAAGGTAAAGCACCCAAAGGAGGGATATGCAGGAGCTGTCTAGTTTTAGGTGTACTAGTCTTCCCTCTCCCTATTTGGTTTGATTCTTTCCTGTCAGAATAGCAGCTATTTCTGTTTTGGTTCCAAGAACAACTGAAGGATGTTTGGGAGTTTATTCTTGATATGGACCCCTAAACTAAAAAGGAAGACAAACCATTTTGGAATCAGTGGAAGGGAACTCAAATCAGTCGTTTATTTAAGTGTGCATTACTCTTCCTGTTTTTATAGAAGCTAAACTAAACAAAGTAAGCCAAAGCAAACACAGTGCCTGCTTTTCCACTACAAGCTCAGCCAAGGGATGTTTTTACATCTAGAGGGAGCCACAGAATGTGGTCTTGCAATGGAGACACTGATGTTCTGCACAAGATCCTTTTGTTCGGTACTTACTATCTGTTGAATTGCATTCTCCTTTAAAGAAACCCTTGTTAGCTAAAACATGAGGAGAGGAACCTTTTACAAGGGCATGTTGTGACAAACAAGGGGGAATGGCTTTAAACTGACAGAGGGGAGATTTAGATTAAACACTAGGAAGAAATTCTTCCCTGTGAGGCTGCTGAGGCTCTGGCACAGGGTGCCCAGAGAAGCTGTGGCTGCCCCATCCCTGGCAGTGTTCAAGGCCAGGTTGGATGGGGCTTGGAGCAACCTGCTCTAGTGGAAGGTGTCCCTGCCCCTGGCAGGGGGTTGGAACTGGATGAGCTTTAAGGTCCCCTCCAACACAACCATTCTGTGATTCATCTAGATTGTCTCAGGCCAGTATAACATAACCTCCAGTAAAACGGAGGTGAGCTAAAGCCAAGAGAAGCTCTGCTTGGAACATATAAGAGCTTTTATGTAACATTAAATGCTGGGGGGAAGAAAAAAGAGCAATAACGTTGCAGCCATCCTCAACTTCCCACTGAACATCTGGCAATAGCCATTCTCCTTAAAACTGATGTAATGCAAAAGTCACTGATGTCCACAAATCACTTGAGTCCAGACCCCGTGAGTGCTGATTCGTCTGCCGTTCACCTATCTTAAGTACATATATACCTTTGGATAAGGACACAAGACACCATCACAGTTAAACAGCCCAAGAAAGCCAGGGAAGAGACAACTGATTCTGTTTGTAGAGCAATGCTTGAATCATTTACAAAGCCAGCAGCCAGAAAGTGAACAGCACTGCTGTCCATACAGTGTACAAAGCAAGAGGGAGCTATGGGAAGCACAGAACCTCATCACACGTTAAAAGTACATGAAGTGTATGCATAAGGTAGAAGTGTATTGAGTGGCATCATCTCATCAGAGAACTTAGCAAAGACTACTGTCCATCTAACACAGGTTATGTGTTAACAGTATGCAGAACAAAAGGGCATGTTCTGCACTGCATTCATGAAAGGATAAATCTGGTTTGAACATTTCAGCTTCAGGTTGGATTGAGCCTTGGGTGGCCTGGTTTAGTGGGAGGTGTCCTTGCCCATGGCAGGGGGGTTGGAACTAGATCTTAAGGTCCTTTGCAGACCTAACTATTCTATGATTCTATGAGGCAAATAGAGGCTTCCTGTGGCTAATTAGAGTTGGCACCATTGTAACTGATAAACAAGGCCTTCTATAAATGGTCTGTTCCAGAATATAAATGCACACCAATCTTAGGGCAAGGAAGTAACTAAAATAGTGCTCTTCAGTTTGACACAGAAATAGGCTGTTTAATCTGACTAAAAACATTAACATTCTGATCATACTTACAGGAATATATTAATGCAGGAAAAATGGGCTCATTTCTCTCCTGTGCAGTTTCTACCAGCATTCTCAGTGGCCCCTTGGGACAGAGAACAGCCATCAGATCTGCGAAGAGAAAAAGGCCAGACAATCTCATCTCAAACTATCATGCATATTTTACATTCTTTATCTTTAAAAAGCTATTCTCCCCTCAAAATTACATCTGTCAATATTAACTGGATGATTTCCTGAATGGCAGTTTCTGTTGTTCAAGTCCTTGAAGATGCTGTTCACTTAAAATACCATCCCCAAGCCTCAGTGTAGTAGTTAAGAGTTTTCATTGTGCTAATCCTATAAAAAGCCTCCTGAGAATAGCACGTTATTTCTTGGAAAGTAGATAACAGCATTATATCAAGGTGTTAAATTTAATTAGATGAAGACTGGGAGTGCTTTGTTCACCTCCTGCAACCCACTGCTACACACACTGACTCTGTGTTTCACATGAAGGAAGTTCCTCTTTGCCTGCCCTCTCTCCTCCATCACAGCTCCTCACCAATCTGAACGTTACCTCCCAACTACCCCTTGTTCTGCAAGTTCTCTTGAAATTTATTACTCATACCAAAATCCATGATCTCTTGATAACCACAAATGGAACCTGCAAGACTATCAGGTTGCTACTGACAAAAATCCAGCCACCCCCACCATGCAGTCAGATGTGGTTCAGTACTTCCCCAACTTGTCATTCCACTTTGAAAAACATGGTAGGAGTGCAGTACCTATAGGAACAAGTCAGCAAGAGACAAGCGAGAGAGTCCGCTTAATTGCCCTTCTGCCCCATTCTAAACCTGTTAGCACCATAAAGTTGTTGTCTGAATGACATCCACAGTCCTGAGACTGCCTCTCAGAGTAGCCTCTCCATGAGCCACACCTTGAGAGTCCCAACCCAGACTTACCATAGATGGAGATTGCACCTAGAATCACCCACGCTGACCACTCCGGTAGATACTTAATGAAAACCAGTGCCATTAGAGCACTGATCATAATAAGATATGCTTGCTGAAGCTGTAAGGGACCTTTCCAGTGTATGCAAATCATCCCAACAGCTCCGAAATTCCAGATGACTAAGAACAGAGTGGGGTAATCCATGGCCACATTGTACGTCTTCAATACTTCACTGGAATAGAAGAAAATTTAGCTAAGCAATAAAAGCAGCTAACACACAAAGCATCCTACTAGCCAAAGTTAAACAAGCCTCCTATTACACGAAGAGGAAGCAGGGTAGAAGCAGCTCTCAAGATGAAAGGGGAACCTGCCTTGTGGCCAATGGCTTCTCTTAGCTCTCTGTTCCTCCTGTAGGAGGTGGACATGCCACGTGCGCAGTCACCACAATGCCTTAGTCCTGAGGTCAACAGTGATTACAATGGTTTGAGCAGGCAGGATTTCAAGTGTTAACCAAACATAGGCCTGCAGCTACGTGACCACCTGCAGCAAGGAAGCCATGTAAGAGCCATCCCACCACATGCATGATGTTAAAACTGAGAAGTTTCAGTTAAAACTGAAAAGTTCTAAGTGTCACCTGCAGATTAAAAGCTTGGTTGTGTCTAAGCTGGGAGCTATGGGAATGAGTTTGCAACAATACAGCCCAAGAAAAAGGCAAAACAAAGAACTCAGCCTGTCAAGTTCCTTTCCCTTTGTTCCTCAACATACAGTTCAGTGCCTCTGTACCACAAGGGTCAGCCTGCTCGCTTCACACTCATAGTACCAGTGATTTTTATAAAGTAGGCACTGCCTATTAAAGACTTCATTTGCCATTTTTTAATTTAATTAATGATTCTAACAGTTCTTAAACCTCCATTTGGAGAAGGGAGACGTTGCTCGTGTTGTTCGAGTTGGGCATTTTCTGCACTCTGAACTGCCAGGTTACCTGCACCATTCCCACTTACCCGAGATATATGTAGGTAAAGAGGAAGAGCAGCATCAAAGAGGACAAGATCAGCCAGCCATGGATAAACTATCAAGGACAAAAAGAGACAGTGACTGAAGGTACTGTTACCCCTCACGCAGCTTGCAGTGCCTAGTGCACACACTACTGACAGAGCTTCTATTGTCCTTCTGCACCCCCCTCCAGCTTCCAAAGACTGCCTTCCCCACTGCCAGTGAGGGAGGAGGGACTGCCAATTGCTCCCAGTTCTCCCAAACTCTCTCATTTTGTGTTCTATTCCTTGGTATTTGTTTTTGTTGGTTGGGTTTTAGGGTTTTTTTTTTAGCCTCTTTCCTATCAATTTCCATGGGTACCCATAGCCTGGCTCCTAGATCAGATAGGTGAGCACATTCTCTCTGCTTGGTGGAGAAGGAGGGGTTTGCCCAAGATTGTACAGTAAGTCCACCTCAGGGCCAAGTTTAAAACACAGCAATGGCCAGTGCTCAAATGCTGGGCTGGTACAACACAGAAAACTCCCTGGGCACCACAAAACCTGAATGTGCCTTTCCCCCCCAAAGCCTTGTCCCATCCACCAGAGCCTCCACAGGCAGGAAGAATAGCAGTTCCTACAAAGCTTGTCTGAAACTTCCCAAGAGAAGGCATTCACGGTATGCCTTACTTACTCCACATGTATGAACTGCAAACCTTCTTGATCAGATGGTGAAGACTCAGACCTGACTAACACAAAGTAGCAGGCCTGGTTTTTAAGAGCCTACCATTAATGACAAAAAGCCAGCAAGGCATATTCAGGGGCACAGCTCTGCCACCTCTGACAAAGGCTGCTGTACAAGATGCTTCTTGCTGTGACTAAGATGTGGACTAGCCAGTGCAGTGCCTGTATTTCTCACCGACACACAAGCTCCACTTGAACTCAGGCTCACAGCATACAGGTTGAAAAGGCTCTGGCATGAACACTGTACCTTGTAGCAGCGATATTTATAGAGCACAACTAGAAAAACAGTCATTACGACGATGACACTGATCATGATGATGGTGTTCAACACTGAGTTCAAGAGACGCTGGCCCACAGATGGGGTATCCTCGCTGAAAGGGGTGTAGATCCTGCAGTATAAAGCAAAAGCCATATAAAGTATATATATTCTCTTCCAACCAACTGCAACAAGATAGATAAAGCCAGTCCTCTCTGTGTGTGGGGAAGGGAGGCAGGACTGCCAAGGACAGCAAACGTAAGAGGTAGCCTCTCAAGTGGCTGGGCTCCAGTTAATTATCAACTAAAGATTAGTGGTCTCTATCAAAAGCACATTCCTACAAGAAGCTGTGGCTGGTAAAGCTCTAAACAAAGAGACCTAGAGTTTAAATTACTTCATTTTAGTAGCTTCTCTCCAGGCCACACATTTTTATTGCATGCTTTGGATCCTCTCCATGATGATTACAAGGCTACATCCCTTTCTTTACACACTTGGTAGAGAGTTTTGGACTCTTTTATCCCTTCTCATCACCCTGCATCCCACCCTTCACCCCCATTTGGTTCAGTTCAAGGGACCACAGTCCCTGTTTCTCCACCCAACATGTGAAGCACAGTTAGAGCCCCAGGAGTGCTCTCAAGCACAGTCAGCATGAACACTATCAATCATAACTGTATGAATTATGTATCCACACCGTGAGTCTGTGAGAACCAGAAATGTCATCAGGAAATGAGACACTCATCCAAATGAACATGCTATTCCCTGACTGCTGCCAGCTAGTGAGTGAGCAGATGAGGAGTTCAGATTGAGCCTTTTACGCTGCAGTATGAAGCAACTTTCTAGCAGCCTTCCAATATCTGAAGGGAGCCTACAAGGATGCTGGAGAGGGACTCTTCATTAGGGACTGTAGCAATAGAATAAAGGGTAATGGGTTTAAACATTAACAGGGGAAGGTCAGGTTAGATACAAGGAAGATCTTTACTGTGAGAGTTGTGAGAGAGTGGAACAGGTTGCCCAAAGTGGTAAATGCTCCATCCCTGGCAGTGTTCAAGCCCAGACTGGACAGCCTTGGGTGACATGGTTTAGTGTGAGGTGTCCCTGCCCGTGGCAGGGGGTTGGAACTGGGTGATCTTAAGGTCCTTTCCAACCCAAACCATTCTGTGATTCTACGACTACTACGCTGCTCATAGGCTTCACTTAGGGCGCCCTAATGACAGTGCTAATTCATCAGTATAATGCAGGTATGGAAGGACTTACACAGAGGAACGTAGCATACTTTAGTAATGTCTTTGTACACTTGCACAGCCACCTTTAGCTGTGTAAAGGTTCTCCCAACCTGCCAAGGAAGCACTCTGTGTACACAGAGTGTATGAGGAACCTGTGTGTAAAGCTAGAGATCCCATGTACTCAGAGGCTGTTTTGAAGACCCCACTTACAGCTGCCCGTTTTTCTCCGTATAGAAGCGCACTGACTTTATGGTGGCGACGACAACAATCATACAAAGGGTGACAGGCACAAAGAGCATGATTACATGCTTTGCTCCATATTTCAGAGTCAGTTCCTCCTCTTCGTTTTCCAAGGCGCTTCCTCTCACTGGAACACCCGAGTCAGACATTTCCCCATCAGCAACGTTGTTAGGGCTACGGCTGCTACCTGTTCGCCTCTTCTGAAAAGAAAGATTAACAAGTTATGTGAGACACTTCTTTGTGTTCAAAGTTTTATTCCATCATATTTCATGAGACTGCTGTAGGCCACCACAGCACACCAACGTGCCTCGTAACAGAGGGGTACCAAAGGAACAATACAATTAGAAATTCCATTGCAAACAAGCTGCAAGAGCTCTTAAACCAAAACTATGAATATCTTGGGGCCTCTTCAAGTGCCATACACATGGGCGCATGCACATGAAGGGCAAGATGCCCAGAACGTAGAGGAAATGTCACTGGAGTGCATAAGCTTGACCAGTTCATCCCCCCACAGCAATACTGTGCTTGCTTTACCCTGCTGCTTCACTAGCAGCAGGAATAGACTCTGTCCTAATATTTCTGCATTTGATCAGAGCAGACAAAGGGTTTCTGCCAAAACAAGGAGGCTGAACAGGATATCCTGCAAGAGTCATATGTGCATCAGGTCCAGATTAAAAGCTTGTATCCGTAAAATTGTAACATGACCAAAAGGAAGGAAAAGGGAGGAGTATATATAGAGATTAAAAGAGGGAAGAAGTCACAGTGAAGAAATGGGAACCCATACTGATGCTGCGAGTGAGAAACAACAGTGGCCAAAGCAATCCTGCTGGGCAGCCTGCTGGGAAGGCCTGAGGGGTAGCAGAACTGTATCTATCACCACATCCCATTCCTTCACTCACCAGGAAGGACGCACACCTACCCTATGTGCCTGCGGCTCCCCGGCTCCTGAGGCTTGCAGGCCATCCTGGTAGGAGGGCACCGGAGGGCTCTCCGCAGACATCAGGGATGTTCTCTCATTGCAGGGCTCCTCCTCGCTGTCCGAGTTGTTCATGAATGTGATCATCGTTGCGTTCCCAGCGAGCACTCAGGAGGGGCGCAGCCAAGCACTGCTCAAGGCTGAGGAGGCAAGCACAGCAGAAGGGAAGAGAAACAGTGAACGCTGCAGTGCAAACCCCTGGAAGTGTGAGGAGGGGACACAGGGAGGCTACAGCACGCTAAGTAACTCCATCTCCTTCTAACACCTGATTTAGCCTGCTGTCACCCCAGGCATGACAATCCATTCCATTAAAGTCACTGTTACTTTTACAGTCAGGGAGGACAGCACAAAGCAGCACTGAAGCAATTTAATACCTCATTTTCTTTGCCCCAGCTTTCACAGTTGCTGCCTCTTGTTTTCCCTTTCCCATTAATACACCTTGATTTCCACAAAGGAGGTTTCTCAGTGCTTAAGTGTTTGATTTGCATCGGCCAAACAAAGCATCACCTCAGATGCTGGTTGCCTGCTAGAAGGCTAATGGAGCTCAGCTCTTACACAGCACTCCTGCAAGCATCGCAGATAGCATAAGTTTCTTAGTAACCCAGACCCTCACATTTGCACAAGCCCCTAACCAGGAGTTACGTGCTGGTTTGACTGGTTCTTAACCAGATTAAACTTTATAAGCAGTTCTTCTTTTTGCCCATGGACAAAGAGAGGTTTGTAGAAATGGAAAGACCTGTCTCCTTAGGTGAAGGGAGATAATGAGGGGAGAGCCGGGGCAGCCATGTGGTAAGATCATGAGGGGAGTGATGGGGTGGTTGTGAGGGGACATTGTGAGGTGAGAGCAGGGGCAGCCATGGGCCATGAGGGGTAGGGGCAGCAGCTACATAGCGTGGGACCACTCTGAGGGGGCAGATGAGGTGTGGCTGTGGCTGTAGATCACGCAGCTCAGCCATGAGGGGAGATCAACTTGCCCTAGGTGACATCGTTTAGTGGTGGGCTTGACAGTCCTGGGGTAACAGATGGGCTTAGAGGTCTTTTCCAACCTATTTGATTCTATGACTCTAAAGCACTGTAAAGCTGTAATATCTACAAGAACACTTCTCCTGCTCAGTATTTCACCCAAGCCCATGTGTGTCGGGAAATACATCCAACTCAGAAGAGGAAGCTGAAGAAGCCACGTGTTTTGGATGCAGTCGCTTAAATCTGAATCATGCACTCAAGTCTGACCAGTACAGCCTGCTGTGTGCCAGGCAGCTTGAAAGGTCAGAGTGGATGCTTTGGAGATCTCTGAGATACTCCTGCTTCTCGCTGAGGAGATTGCAATTCACTCTGGAGGGAGGAAAGAGGGAGGAGTGGAACGTTGGTTCCCCTTTCTTTCACAACCTCCTCAACACATCTGGCACCTTTGAGAAATCTTAGAATGTCAGCTCCATCTGCCCAAGTGAAACGTTTTTCAGAGATGTGCTCCTCCCCTGCCTTCTCTTCAAGCTTTTTCACATCATTTTGTTCCTCTTTTAGCCGATAAAAGTGGTGCAGCTACAGGAAACAAATGCAGGGGTAGCCCTCAAGCCAAACCCGTCTGCAGGATTACTGAGTGAGCTGCGTAACACCTGCATTTGTCTGCTTTTTCTTAGAGCCTAAAATCTCCACTCCAAGCACTTAACACATCCTTTAACTGAGCATGAAGTCTCACAGTGTACAGTTGACAGCCTAGATTTTGGTTCAGCTACAGGACTCAGGCCTTTAAAGACAGCAGGTATATGAAGTCATTCAGTTGTGACATACTTCTGGGTCTGTGAACAGGCAGTTATGCATGCCAGAGGATCTGTTACCCATGGAATTTAAGTAACACTCAAAACCTTCTGCCCATGTCAGAGACCAGGGAAAAAATAAGTAAAGATTTACTCTCTGATAGTCTGGGACCAATATTTAGGTTTTTAACAACTCAGTGGAAATATTAAAGAACTTTTTCTCCCAGTATTTAAGAAACTGACACACAAGTTTTGCTGTATAAATTCTGGAGAGGATTTAGAAGGGTCAGCCAGTTCATTAGCCTACTTTCAGCACCCTAGTTAAGCCCACTGGAGGACTTAAACCAATAGCAAAAACAGTGCTAATTATTAACCTGCACGACTGCATGGGAAAAGAATCTCATGTTTTAAAACGGCCGTTTTTAAGCTGGACATGTTCTCCCTCAACAAGTATATGGATAAATGCAAAGATGCAACAACATTTCTGGTCAGCAAGCAGACTCAGTCCTGAACACAGCTTTACTGTCCCTTGTTTACATGGCTTTGGTTTCATTGAGGGCTGACACAGACTCCAGCATATCTGGGATTCTATAGCTCCTATAGATTCAGGAACTCCTATAGCAACAAGCCCTCAACAAATTCTCAGATGCTGTACTCACAGCTGCCTTAAACTGACCTAAATACATGGTCCTCCCCAAAGGGTGGTCTCTCTGGTGCCAACACCAGGTGCTCTGTCTAGCTCTTTTGAGAAGACAATAGGCACTGTTTTCCTTTGCTTTTAAGGAGCCAGGTTGCAGCAGGACCAGCTCCCAGGCTGGCTATGTGAACAGCCCCAGTGCCCACACTGAGGTAAAGCAAATGTTGGCTGAGCCACCCCTGTTCCAGTAGGGCCAAGCCTTACAGCAGCAAGCCCTCTGCTCTGCTCGCTCCCAGAGGGAGCAGCAGCCCACCCTCACCTCAGGCCTGCAGCACCTATGGCAGCGTGCCTTTTAGCTAAGCAGGAGCCGTTGACATACGGTTTACAGAGGTAGGCACACTGGCCCTCCCCTTCTTCCCCCCACAGACACAGTAGGGAGTTTGCCTGATGTTCTATTTGTTCATCAGAGCTGCACCTTCAACCAAGGCTGTGCTGGCTGCCAGAGAGAGCTTTGGTTTAAGTAGCATGCCTTTCAGGGGAGGAAAGGACAGCCTAGTCACTCTCACATCCATGTGCCCAGCACAACAGCATCCTTTGGGATTAGCAGAGCCTTGTCCTGGGGGCTTTCTTTCCAGATAGAAAGGGAGCCACAGAGCATCAGGCAACCAAGAAAGGGGTGTTACAAACCCACAGTTTTCTGGTATCATTTCACCAGTTAACCTGAGGGAAGCTGCCTTGCGGAGATAATTTCTGCCTCCCAAGGATGCAAGATACCCCCATAATGGAAGGCACAGGAACCTTCTTTCCTACTGTTTGTGACACCAAATACACCCATGCACACTGACTGTGTCTTCCTAGGCTGAGCTGAAAAGGGGGAAGGAAAGGTCAGGAAAGGAAAGCACTGCAAGCTGAGACAAGCGTGCTCCTTTCTGGCTGTAGCAACAGGAGTGGCTTTCAGGTTGGAGGGGAATGTAAGCTGTATCTGTATTCACAGAAAGCTACAGAGCACGGTCTATCAAATACAGTAAATAAAGTAGTTGAACAACATGCACCAAACCATCATCAAAACTGACCCTCTTGGCTGCAGGGTATCAAGCAAGATTTTCCTTTTTCCCCCCCCCCCTCTGTGGATGGATTCAAACCATTAGGTCCCTTTCCAAAAAATCATATGCTTAAGAGCCAAAAGACCAAACTCTCAAAAAACAGATGGCAAATATGAAAGGGGACAAAAACTAGGTCAGTAGTAAGTGCTCCCTGTAACAGAGCAGCTGAGGTGGGAATACAGCAACTCCTGCTTTACAGCAGTCTTGTGGAGCCTGCAGGAAAGCAGGAGTCACAGTTTCTCTCTTCCAGATGTCCCTTGTGCAAGGGACCTCCTTCCTCAGCTGCAATAAATCAGCTTTATCAAGTTTGATTAATTGGGGCCAGTTCACACTAACGGTAGGATCTAGCCTCGGATTGCCCTTTAATGTCATTCTGCAGCATCACTGTGCTTCACGCAAACCTAAATCCTTTGCTTTGCCTGTCATCCATCACAGACAATACACATACAATATACACCACAGAACAGCTGCTACGGGCTGGCAGAAAATAATATACTTGAGAGTTAAAATTCCTGCTTTTTTTAGGTATATGTATATATATATGCTATAATTGATGGCAATTAGATTAAGAATTAGTTTTTCTTTGCTGTATTTAGATCAAGAGAAAGCTGTGGGCTGACAGTGACAGCCTGATGTTCTCTGAAGTTTCAGCTGTAGCAAGCACTGCTGCTGGGAAGTATGAAGAGGAGGAGAAAACTTCTAAGGTATCCTAAGTGGTGGGGCCAAAATTAGGAGGAAGGATTTCCAGTTCTTGCCAGTAAATAATGGCAGGACGTGGATGCTGCTAAAATAATGGGGGACTTGGAACATGCCATCTCAGTGCTCAAAACAGAACTTGCAAATGCCATTCACTTGCAGCCCCAGAACATAAAGGAAACTCAAGATATTATGGGAAGGTGTAAAGATCTGTAGCCCTCTTTCTGCATTTTAGGGCACACCAACACAGCTGAGCTAGCACTGCTTTCAATTACTCCCCCAAGAAAGGCACAGCACATGGCCCCACAGGGCTGTTTTGCTGGCAGAGCAGAGATCAGACCCTCCCAAGGAGGATCAGAAGGATTATTCTGCCAGCGTTAAGCCCTAACACACTAGCAGTCAACTTCCCACCACAGCCCTGCAGAGCTACCGACACCAGCCAGCAAAGCCTCAAAGCCTGGGTCAGAATTCACACGCTGCTCGCATCTGTGCTACCGCTGCCAGAAGTGACACACCGGGGACACCCAAGGACACCAGCGCTGGGGCTCGGCTCCTGCGCCCTACCTGGGTACCAGGGGCGGTCTGCCATGGGGACACGGAGCCCAGGGTGTCCCGTCCTCCCCCAGCGCTTGCTATGGGCACACCAGACTGGGTGAGCTGCCCCGGCCGTCCCAGCGCACGGCCACCCCCACAGCGGCTGGACGAGAGGGAAACAACAAGCACTTTGAAACAGAAGAGACTAGAAGCCCCCCCGCCACGCAGGGATGCTGCAGGAGGCCACGAGCAGAGACCATGGAGGCCTTTCCCCTGCTCCTTTTCGAGCGGTTACAAGGGTGAAGCGTGCCGGCAGCACTTCGAGCCAAATCCTGGGCTGCAGGGAGAAATGCCGCCGCCCAGGAGAAATACATCGACATATATGTGTATGGTTATGGCCATGGACACACACCCACACACATAACAATATGTATTTACATATGCACATATATAATAGGTGCACATATAGAAATATACATACGTACACACAGAGATGTAACTTTCTCCAGGAGCCAGCCAGGCTGCCGGAGCTCCCTCCCCACCACAGCCACTATGCCAGGCCCCGGCGTGGAGCAAAGCGAAGCGGAGCGGCCCCGCACGGCTCCAGCAGCGTTGCGACTCCGAAATCCCCTCGGCCAAGGCCCGGCCCCTCCCAGCGGTAGAGGCCACCCGAGCCCGGGGCAGGACCAAAGCCAGTTCCCTCCCCGGGGTTCCCCGACGGCCGCCGCTGTTTACCTGCTCCCGGCGCGGCATGAGCTCCACTCCGCTCCCATTGGCTTCGGCACACCCTGGCCCCAGCGCTGCCCGGGAGGACGGCTTCGTCCTCTGATTCGGCCCAGCTGCTGCCGCTCAGCGAGTGGCCCCGCCTCCTACCTACCGTCCCCCAATGGGAGAGAAGGGTGGGACGAGGGACGGCCAATAGGAAGGCGCCCCTCCCCGTCTTCTCTCTCTGAGGGCGAGGCGGCGGGCGTGGTGGAGCCGCCATAGTGGGGTGGTCGTGGGTTTGTGTTGCTGTGGCCTCGCCGGCTGCTGAGGGACAGCACCCGGAAAGGAGCAGTGTCTTTGAGCGCTGCTGTCAGGGCTCGTCCCTTCAGCAGCAGCGCTCGGGTGTCCAGGTGCTGCCATAGGTGGTTATGTGGAAACGCCGAGTGTACCCCTAACAGTGAGCTGCGTGGTACAGCGCCCTCAGCCTCCCCTCACGGGTAGTGACCATCCTCACAGCTGGGCGCGGGAGGTTTATAGTGCCGGTGAACGGCGGGTGTAAACCGTTCGCTTGAAAATGCCTGCCTTTACACCCGTAATTTACGGTTTTTAACTCACCGTCATTGAGGCACCGGCGTTTTGAAGGCATCTAAGTGCTTATCCACAGCCTTCAGTAAATGGGAAAGCTATGTGAGAGTGAACGTCCCGATTGGAATGAAAGATAATAGGGGAGCATAGAGGAGTAAATTGAGAAACCAGAGGAAATGGCCGTGGGATGGTTTATAGATCAGGGATGAAGAACGGAAAACTACAAGCATTTTCATATTATTTGCTAGGGGTGTGAGAAGTTTGTGTTTTCAGAGCTCAAGCCTTTTGGTTGAAAAGAAACCTAGCATGATAGTAAGCAAAACAATCCTATAGACAGATGAAACTGTTCTCCCAGCACACAGACCACTCCTGCGCCTCTGCTGCTCCCATTGCTTTATGAACCGACAGGTAAGTGAAATCTAGGTTCTGGCAGCTCTGTAGCACTTGCTCATCGTCTGTGGAGGCAGAGGCACGAACTGGAGTCATGGTAAAATTCCCTCTGCTGCCGTTGTCACTTAGGGAGAACCCCAGGCACAGGCACGGCGAGGATTTGCAGCAGAGCTTCACGTCCCTCTGTGCTTCGTGCCATCCGTGAGGATCCTGCGTGCGAAAGGAATGAAGGGTAAGGTGGCAGTGGAGGAGATGTGAGGTACAATAAGTGAACAGCCCCCCAGTATGTCAGTGGTGAAAATGGAGGGGTTTGCAGACTCCAAATCTAAGCTGACTGTTACATTCTTTACCCTGAATTTCCTGCACAATATTGGTGACAAGTGATACACTTTCCTTATACCCATAACCCGTATTTTGAGCCACTCTTACACTCGTAACCCTTATTTTGAGCCACTGCACAGAAACAAGTTACATGTAGAATTCCTCCGCACCCCAGAGAGCTGCCTATCAAACCATGGCAGCTGTCCCCTGCCAAGGTAAAGTCAGTCAAGGAAACTGATAACCTGGTGTGCTTGGCTGCACTCTTCACTAGCACACCATCAGAGCTCTTTTAGAAGTTTCTCTCAAAGGCTGTGTCTATCTCTGGGCTTTGTGCTGAGTTCCTTCCACTGGATGCTAGATCCATCTGGAGTCCTTTGTAAATGGGAATTTCTCTGATGAATTGAATCCTTTGCACATTGTGTGCTCAGCTGTTTGTCAAGTTTGTTTAATATTAGGAGAAGGAGCAGTTTTGGTTGCTTTCAGATTTTTCAGCTGACAGTAGTTTTACACCCCTTTTATGTGGGCCTTACATATCTGGCACAAATCTGGGATAATAGTCAAAATACCTATCATCTGCTTTAAAACACTTCACATCTTCAAAGCCAAGGCATTGACAATGTGAACCGTGCTGCTGTTCGCCTTGCTGGTGGCTAGCCAGTCTATCTGAGCCTGCCCAGAGTAAGCAGAGCCAGCAACAAGCACATTGCAGTGAAAGCCCTGCCTTGCCATAAATCTGTGCAGGCAATAGGTGAATTGTTTTCTTTTAGCAGCTGAAGGGATGGGAACTGGTTTTACAAGCCCAGTTGGCCTTTCTCAGCAGCTCTGGAAGCTAAACTTGCAGCTTTTTTCATCTCTTAATAGTGCTGCTCTTGAGTATGAACGGCTCTGAGTGAAGATTACATTAACATGAACTACGCAGGCCTGAAGTTGAGACAAATAAATTCGTTGCTTCTTTCCATGTTCTCACTGGGTCCTCCCTTTCGCTTTCGCCTTGTTGGACAAGTGCAAAGAGCTGTATGTAGATCCTGTACAAGTCAGGAAAACTGCACATATTGCAACCTTCCTGAAAGCACCAGAGCTGATGGCTCTGGAGCCGACGGGCTGTGAAACTCAGGGAGCGCACATTCTGCCTGCCTCCTTTGTAGTTTTCAGAGGCAAAAATCTAGCTTAACTCAGTGATCCTTCTCTGTACCCAGAGGTAGGGTATAGGAAGACCAATAGTTGTTTCAGTCTCCTTTCCTGGGATTTACTACTGTACTCATTCAGTCAGGATGTCCCTTCACGTGTTTTTTCCTAGCTGCATCACAAGAAGCATCTGATCTTAGGCTAAGTTAAAAGAGTCTTTGAGCAAAGCCCCCATTCATATGCCATTAAAAATATTTCTTCTTCTTTTTCTCTTTTTTAGTCAGATCTGTAAAGTCATTTCCTTGAAGGATCTCTCACAGAAAATGTCAAGTATGCCCATTCCTAGGAAAAGCATGTGACAAGCTGCATCCCAGGTTTTTGACTTGAGAGATCAATGTCTCTCACCAGAAGCAGTTGTCTCCAGGCTGATGGTTGTTCTGAACTACACAGGGACATTCTGTGGGATTGCCCTGATGTGCTCCATTTTAATACTTGGACATTTGCAGTAGGAGATCTCAGGGAGTTTTTGGTGATAAACTGTTACAATCCTCCAAATATATCCAAGGAATTGTGGCTGGTTTATTTCAGGAGGTATAAATAATACCCGGAAATAGGGCTGCTGACACAAATTCAAACACTGAGACGCTCCCTTGGCTTTCAAAGGGAAACAGGCACAACACCGTCTGTCAAAATAACATTAAAACCTCTCATGCTTACACAGAAGATATGGACAGTGTCAGGGCCAGCATTATCTGAGGTTTTATGCTAGAATAGACAGTACTTTCCAAGAGTCTTGGTCAGCTGGTTCCACTCTGTAAATCTGCAGTCTCTCAAGGAAAGGTCTTTACTGAACATCAAAGTAAATGTTCTTCTCATAACTGAAGGAGATCTGCTCACTCATGAGATCACTTAGCAAGCAGCCAGGGCTCATGATGATGTGCCACCTGTGGATGGGTATCGCATGTTGGTGTCACACCCATGAAGAGTGATCCCACACTGGTGTATCTATGAAGCTTCAGCTCCAACTGGACAGTTCAGAGTTATGCTCCAGTAGTGAAGAGCATGGCATATCCTTCTGTCTAAACCAGGAAGAAAATAGGGATCCAAAGTCCCATAGACTGGAGACTATTGATCTGACTCTTGGGAGCACACCTTCATCAAAAGGGGATGCTAACCAGTTGTGTTGTGAACGTTCATTCAGTACATGTCTCTCGTGATGTTGCATATACATGAGATCATCTCCTGGTCCATTCATTCTAGGGTCCACAGAATCATAGGTGTGTGTTGATGCATTAGATGTGTAGATGACTGCTCACTAATGTATGGAGAAATGAGCTAAACATGAGACCAGGCTCAAACACACAAAGCCAAGGTGGTGAGAAGGGAATGGGAGTTAAATTTGGTTAAGTGTACAGTCACAAAGCAATCAGTGACACATCCAAATCAATGCAATGCAAACAAAGTCTTGCTTTTAAGCACAGGCCCTTTGCAGGCCCATGAAGCAGGAGCTGGACTGCTCCAGTGGATGTACCTATGCCTGTCTGGGGGCAGGAGCAGAGCTGCCCTGGTGCCCTCTGGATCACTGTCTCAGTCAGACAGTTTTCCTGCCTCCTTATATATGTTTTATAAAGTTTTGTTAAAGAATCAAATGCCTCCTTAGAAGACAAATGCACTGTGCCTTTAAGCTTGTTGGTATCTCTTTGGCTTTCCAGACCTTGGGACAAATCCTTCGGACAATCCCAGGCTCCGAGAAGTCAGCAGACCAGTTCATGTGACTTGGAAAACTGTGAGTTAACACTGCTCTGCTGTGTCGAGTCAATGATAAATCAATAGTGACTTTAACTGAAATGAGGTCAGTCCTGAGAAAAAGGGAAAATACATGTCTAGCATCTGTTAAAAATGCATATGACAGACAAAACAAGGCATTCCTCATAACTGTGCAAATCACAGGATGGTTTGGGCTGGAAGGGACCTTAAAGCTTATCCAGTTCCAACCCCTGCCATGGGCAGGGACACCTTCCACCAGACCAGGTTGCTCCAAGCCCCGTCCAGCCTGGCCTTGAACACTGCCAGGGATGGGGCAGCCACAGCTTCTCTGGGCAACCTGTGCCAGCGCCTCAGCACCCTCACAGGGAAGGATTTCTTCCTAATGTCTAATCTCAGTCCTCCCTCTGTCAGTTTAAAGCCATCCCCCCTTGTCCTGTCCCTACAGGCCCTTGTCAAAAGCCCCACTCCAGGTTTCTTGTCAGCCCTTTAAGCACTGGGAGCTGCTCTAAGGTCTCCCAGGAGCCTTCTGTTCTCCAGGCTGAACAAGCCCAGCTCTCCCAGCCTGTTGCCCTAGCAGGGGTGCTCCAGCCATCAGAGCACCTTCGTGGCCTCCTCAGGCACTCTCTCCAACATGTCCAAGGATGAACCTGTATAATTTACTTAGGCACTCTGCTGGTAGTCATCACGGGGAGAACGTGGGTGAGGAATGTTCGTTATACATTAATATTCAAATAAATCCTTCCCCGATTGTATTCCGAAGAGGTCCCCCCTCACCGCCTGTAAAGAGAATCCTCCTGTATACACTAGGGGGCAGAGGCCTCCTACGCAGGGACGTCTCGGCAGCTGGGTTTGCTGCCTGACAGGTACATCTCATCCTTCAACCCTGTTCCACTGCGTGATAACCCTTTGAGGGGATCTTTATTGTAATCTGATTGCTGTGACATACATTAGGTGCTCATATAGCCTCCTGTGGAGAACT